GTTTAAACCTTGGTAATTACTCGCCCTTTTGACTCTCTTTGACTCTTACTGTAGGTGTTGATCAGCTGTGGAAAAGATGCCAGCGTCAGCTGCCACATATGAAAGAGTAGTGTACAAAAATTCTTCGGAGTACCACTACATGAAAGTCTGCCTGTAAGTTCAGTGCCCTGAGTCTTATTTTAGATTGTCTCTTTTTAAGAATGATGCCATAGAATGAAATTTAGTGTAATGTCTTTTTTTAATGTTTGTTACAGAGAATTTCAAGATCAAGGCATTGGGCTAAGCTCTGCACAGTTCAAACAGCTACTTATTTCTGCTCTGAAGGACCTGTTCGGGGAGGTATGGAGTCATGGGGTAGCTCAGGATTCCTACATTCATTGTAAGAAACGCAGAAAATGGTCTAGGGATGTTGCTCAGAGGTAGAGTGGTTATTTAGCATGTGCCAGGCTCTTGGTTTGATCTCCAAAACAAAGAGAAAAAAAACCCTTTAAAAATTATTTTAAAACCATTTGAGCCAGACATGGTGGCACACACTTGTAACCCCAGCATTTGGGAAGCTAACAAAGGAGGATGAGTTTGAGGCCAGCCTGGGCTACGTAGTGAGTTCAAGGACAGCCTGAACTGCACAGGAAGACCCTGTCTCAAAAAAACAACAGCAACACATACAAAAAAAGTTGGAAATGCAACATCAAGCTTTCAGAAATGATGAATTTTAGTAAAGTTGTTACTATGTCTTGCTTTTGACAAGGCAGTTTGCAAAAGTTTTATTTAGTGCGGTGCTGCTCAGCATGGTCTAGCCATGCAGAGCACAGGAAGATAACTAATCTTAACCATTAGTTATCCTGCCTTAAGGGCAGGTCTGGTGAGGCATGTGCGGTTCCTGACTGAGTTTGCCCGAGGCACTTTAAACAACTGAGCTAGCCACCCAAAATTAAATAAAATAAGGAGCGGCAGCCACACAGGGCTTCCTCGCCCCATCAATTCCTCCTCCCCACCTCTGACCCCTGCCAGTGCATCCTGCAGGGTGAATCTCCAGAGCACTGCTCCAGGGAAGATAACTAATGGTAAGACAGTGTGACCTGATCTGAACAGTAGGCTTAGCGATGTTGTTGGCTTAATCTTTCTTTCTTGTCTTTTTTCCGGTACTAGGGATTGAACTCAGCATCTTGCACTTGCCAGGCAAGCACTTACTCTGGTGCAGCTCTTTATCCTATCTCAGATTATGAGCTGAGTCCTAGGCCAGAGGCCAGACTACATGCAGCTGCAAAAAGAGCACAGGTGAAGAGTGATGATGACATAGGAAAAGGTTTGTTCCGTGTAGCCATAGTGAGAAGGCCAGAGATTTAGGACAAGAGACTTGGGGTTATAATAGACAAAGAACAGGGACAAAGGTTGGAGGCCTTAGGCCAGGGGCTGGTTAATTGTTAATCTTAAGATTCTTATGAGAAGCTTTGTTGTGATAACAAAGTTGCTGCAGCCTGAGTTGCAGTTTCAGCTCTTGTTACAAAATGCTCATCAACCAAACCTGTTGCTGGAATCCAGGGTGACCGCAGGACAGAGTGCTTAGAGAAAGTACAAGTTGGAGGGTTGGTCGGCCTCAGCTGTGCCAACAGTCAGGCCCTTCTGCAAAACCAGTCCAGTGCTGACTCGAGAGCAAAGGCAGAACTCTGGAAATTGAGCACAGCAAGGACAGGCTTCTCAGGGATTTACTTCCCGATTCAGATATTTTGTCGGGTCAGAATCTGCCAAGTGCCTTATCAAAATTAAAACCCATTCTGCAGCTTCTGTGGCTTTTGTAGCACACCCTGCTTTCTCCGGGGTGTTCTTTTGTCTCATTTCTTCCTCTTTTTACTTGGCCTACATGCACTTTGTGGAACCACTTTCTCGTGCTTCACTTTTACTTTTTCAAATAAACTGCTGGGCTGGGGAGATAGCTAAGCAGCATAAGCGCCTGCCTGACATGCACAAGGTCCTGAGTTCAATCCCTAGTATCGGAAGAAAAGAAAAAATTAAATAAACTTTGCCCTGTTTTAAAAACTGTAAAGGCCTTTGGCTTACTCTCTAGCATCCAACCCCCTTTCAAAGGTGTGGTTAATAAGATCGACAGAGGAGCTGTAGATTGGGGGGATACATTTACAAACTGAGTATCTAACAGAGGACTGATACCTAGAATATATAAAAAAGAACTTTGAAAACCCAACAGTAAAAAAACAACCCACCTAGAAAAGTGGCAAAAAGTCTGTACAGACATTTCATTAGAGAGGATATAGAATTAGCAAAGGAGCTCATGAAAAGGTACTTGGCAGAGCAGCCAGGAAGGGAACAGGTTAATGTAATGAGGTACTAGTGTGTGCTTAGCAGGATGATGGAAATAAAGGTTAGTGATTACTAACACTGGCAGGGGTGGGGAGAGGTTGGTTGTTCGTACGTTGCTGGTGAACAACACGGTGCAGCTACTCTGCAGCATAAACAAGACGTGTACCAGCACACCCCCAGCAAGAGCAGTCCTGGGCTTTTATCCCAGAGAAATGCCGACTTGTGTTCACATAAAAACCTACCACAAATGTTCATAGTTGATTCATCTGTGATAACCAAGGGAAACACTCAAGTTGGCTTTTGTTGAATGAATAAGCTGTAGTACCTTCAACTATGGGAGGTACTCAACGATAAGGAGTGGATTACTGGTGCATACCGCAGGGTGAATCTCCAGAACGCTGCTCCAGAGAGCATCTATGTGTGTGATGCTCTTGAAATAATATGTAATGTGGAGAAGATGAGTGGTTCCCAAGGGTTAGAGGTGGGGAGGA